TGCTTCCTCGTCCAAGCTCGTTTCTTTGCCTGAATCCTTCCGCCAGGTGCATCGGTTTCAACCGATGCTCACCGCTACAATCATTCGCCCAACCGCACAAGTAACAGTGGAAACCAACCGCCTAGCTTCTTGCTACTAGTAGCTAATTGCTCCTAGTAGCAATGCCCTTTGTTCCCAGTAGCTTCTTGTTACGAGTAGTAATGCAGGAGCTACTAGTAGCTTCTTGTTCCCGGTGTTGCTTGGTCCAACGGTTTGCTTTATTTCGTTCAACCATCGCCCACCGAAACCAAGCCGCCTCGCCGAGGTGGCTTCCAGACCTGACTCTCCAGTGACCCTTCCAGCAACCATCCCGACCCCGGCGACGCTGGGCACGGTACGCCCGGGGTGTGAGTGTTCACGGATGAAGATGTTGTGTATGTTTGTTTGTGTTTGTATAGGAGCCGAGCCTGAGCCCAGTAGCTGTACTGGGGCTTCATTCTCCAAAGGTGTTGGCCATAATATCGGTGTTGGCATCTCGAAGGGAAAGCTGATAAGGGAGGTCCCTGTCTCTTGGGTTTGGGTTCTCGGTCAAATTGAGCAAGCACGAACGAGATACAATACACGTTATTTTTTTTCAGGTAAGGCTAAGCAACAGCAAGAAACGAAGGTTTATCATTTAAGTCCGAAGTCCTGCTCCTAAGCTGTTCTGGTGTTCATTGCAGCATGTGACACCCTCAGCTGCGAAGGTCTAATGATATTGACGAAGCCTCGGTAGAAACGATCAAAGTTTTGAAAAACAAATTGAAGGTCGCTCATATGTATATATCCATGCAATTATACATGCATATATCAATACATGCTATGCTGGAATGGAGATTCCAAGCGCTATGAACGTGGAAACTGCAAACAATGTAGAAATGGCCTTCTAAGGCATGTTGCTGCCCCGAAGAGTTCATATAGAACCTGCTATACAAAGGCAGCCCTGTTGGCAGTCGAGACCATGGGCCCTGTTGCCAGCACGGACACTCTCTCTCATGGCCAGTCGGTTTAAAACAAAAGATTGAATATCGATTTCATCTAGTATACGAGCTTTTTGACGTTCGCCTCCCTGTTTTGGAACACGTTATGGTTGGACCAGCCCGAACTCCGATTTGGTTCCCTGTTTGGTGTCTCAGACATGCTACCTGTAGGTCCACGTTCATCGTGACGGTTTTTCAGCACATCTCCACGTCCTGGCAACACCTGGACCTCGCCGGGCCCCTTGACATCCTCACCGGGCTGTTGACATCCTCCCTGGTGCGGCGCAGGGAGTGAAGGAGATCAACATGAAGAGTGCCGATCAGAATCTGTTCGGACGTCTCAGGGGCTGGGGGAACTAGCCCCTGACACACTGCCACGCAGACACAGACACGATTTTGCAAGTGCAAGCCTGTGGGGGTGGGATCCTGTTCAAAAAGGATAAAAAGGTAATGACTCATTGTACTCCAATTTTGACTCCACCACTACCATAAGGGCAAAATGAGTCACGTGGACTCTCAGGGAATGTTGCTTGAGTAGACTTGCTCATTCATTATGATTAAACACCGAGGAAATCCAGAACCTGAAAGAGCATTCTTTCGTTGAAATCAACATTGGATAGGAACACATTGTGTTTGATGATACCGGCAACTACTAGAAGGGGCTTGGAAGGATGCTGAAGATATGATTGATGCCCAGGAAATCCCAGGAACTTTAAAGACATTTCGAAACTACCTGATCCTGCAAGTACCCAGGTAGTACAAATCTCAGCTTTGTGCGGTACTATTGTGTTTAGCTGCATCAGTGACAGATTCAGAATGATTCAGGACTGTGGCCACCTAGGTGCCACTGAGTTTGGACTCGGCTGCCCCCTTGTGACATGTCCTGTTCTTCCTTCCTCAAAGAGGCGGAACTCCAACCAGTTGGACTCCAATGTGTTGGGGCATGGAAGACACCGTAACGACCCGGCGTCTTTGATGCCTGTGATTCGGCATGGCGAGCGAGCCACAAGTCTGGTGAATTCTGGTGATTTTGGCGCAGAGAACTTCTCAGTCGAGGTCCTTGAGGGGGCGCTTTTGGGATCGTTTGGGTGGAACACACTTTGCGTCACTCGTATCCGTTTTCCATGTTTGGGCAAGCAGCTGCTAGCACAACCGAGGCTTGACAAGTTTATGGCTCAATTTGGAGCACCATGAAGTTTCTGAGGTGCGCGACTCAGAGAAAACTCAATGAACGGCCAAGCTCGTTTTTGTAGCCATTTGAACGCGCAAAAAAATTTATCACGACTTGTTGCCCCATAAACAGACATACCAGGTCAAGTACCTCGGTTCTTTGGACCAGACTCATTCAGCCGGAGCGTCCGACTCATCCAGCAGGAGCCTTCTTCGACTGAAGGACATTTCCACCTTCTGAGCGTTTTCCACACCACTGGGAGGTCATCGCACCGACCCGTCAATCTGACGATCGTCGATCCGACGATTGGAGGAGAAAGAGAGGGGTTCCCGGCCCGAGAAGAAGCGGACCCCGCTGTAAGAGGACGGTGTTCACGCGTCAAAAGCACGTTCCCATTCATTGAAGCATCAGAGCGGCTACCAAAATCTGCACTGTACCAGCTGCTTGACTCGTTCAGATTTCTGGATGTCCATCCTTGAGAGGGGCAGGCTCACGTTCTTGAAAAAGAGGCGGCGCTTTCTATGAACATCGGATCACCTTTTGCTCACTAGAATCACTAGAACATGTCTTTTTTTCGGTTCTCCAGTCGTGTGGTAACTTCCGGACTGGTGTGGCACGCGGTCATGCGACCGCCATTTTGTATAGGGTCCTCCACCCGCAGCAAAGTTGCTAGCCGTTTCACCTGGGCGGGGGCGCTCCCGCAGCGTTGTAGAGGATTTGAGAATCTGAGGATCTCAAGCCTTAAGCTTTGTAGAATGAAGCTTTTTTGGAGTGTACCATGTTCAATCCATTGCAAAATGATGCAAAATGTTTCATTAACACCCTAAAGATCAACTCATCGTTTGGAATGTTTTTGCAATGTTCTGTTTGCATTCTGAACAGCACTGAAATCATCGATCGCAGAGATATTCAAGTTTCAATTTGGCGATTTGGAACAGCTATGTCATCCGAGACCAGGCCATTTTGGCAGCACAAACTGTCAGCACTGTGGTCGTGGGTCACAAGCTTGTGATTTTGCCCTGCGATTAACACTTAATGAATCTTAATGATATGATATGAAATATTCCCTGGACTTCCCTGGATATGATATGATTCCCTAGATCTATGAATGTGATAGTATGATATATATTCCGGAATATGATGGACAAAAATATGTATAGTTATTCATTTGGTAGAAGTCTCGCACAGTGAAGTGGCACGGATTATATTTTGTTTGTATGGATCATAGAGGGACTCATCGGTTTTCTTTGACTCTTTGTGTGGCATTTGGAAAGCCACGACTGAGCCCTGCCTGGTTTAGCAAGTGTGTTTTGTGTATCTTTTTGGTGGGAGGGTCATTATTTGGGATGTGGGGAGCGATCTTCCATCACGGAAACTGGGATCACAAATGTGAAGAAGATTTGTGCGATTGGAGTGTATGCGTGTTGTCCGGCCATAGTCTGAGGGTGATACTTCTCCTCAACCCTTTGAGCAAAAGAACTAGTGTCCCTGATTGGTGATGTCTATGCAAATAAGGGTCAATTTGGAGCTTTCAAGACCCGGTCTTTCGGGGTATTGGATCCAAATTGGAGCAACTCCTTCGCGCAAAACAAGCACGATCGCCAGACCCACGATCCAGGGCGGCCATTTACCATTTCTTGGCTCGGTCACGACCGCCCTCCAAGAGGAAAAGCATCACCAAGGGTCGGACAGGGACAGATGAACAGAAGAAGATGAACCCTGCCGTACTGTGTCCAGCTTGTAACATTACTACTAGTAGCTGCTGACATTACTACTAGTAACAAGAAGCTACTAGTAACAAAGGGCATCGCTACTACTGGTAGGAGCAAGAATGCTACTAGTAGCTATGATTTATCGTCCAAGTGGTGCTCTTGTTGGTCGGTGCTGCTGTTCCAGCACCTCGATTTGATGTCAAGACGAGGGTCGGTCTGGCAACCCCCAAAAAGCTCCTAGCAAAACAGGATCACACATCGAACAACATGGTGTGTACTGATGCGGGGTCGGGGTTTAGCTTGACCATTGTTTCAGAAGAAGGTCTGGGGTTTATATAGGTCGACACCATGTCACGATATGTCACGATGTTTATTGAAGGTTGTTGATTCCATGCGGGATTAAGCAAGTGTTTGCAAACTGTTTTGGTTCAGACACTAGATAGGACATGTTGGTTTCTTTCAAGTCAAGAAATCGGTAGCATGGTAAACTTCCGGGCAACCTCCCTTGTACCAATAATGGGGAAGGGGACATGCACGTTGGCACAAAAGACTGAAGCCCCTAGTAGCTTCTTGTTACTAGTAGCTTCTAGCCTAGTAGTAATGCCATTGTTTCTAGTAGCGTCCTTGCTCCTAGTAGCGATGCCAGGAGCCCCTGGTAGCTTCTTTTCTAAAGCCTTCTTTGACCCAACTGCAAGAGCCAAAGGCTGAAGCGTTTTGTTGACTTGTTTGCCTTTTCGCTGGCTTGCAGATGCGTAGTAGATGGAGGGGTGTAATTATATATATATAATTATATATATATGTTGTAGATGTGGGTTCTGTGAGATTCTGTGAGGATGCCGTACATCACTAGTCTGACTATGCTATTACTATGAAGGGTTCTGTGTTGCTTCCTTTTCGACGGTAAGCTCTTGCATTACCTGAGATAGCTCAGGAACCCCCAGTTTGCATGGCCGGCAATACCAACAAATGTTCTGTTCAGGAGAAAGGGAAGTACATAAGTATCATACAGAAAAAAGAAGCCCAGACAATCCGAACAGCCAAAGCTTGGCTTTGTTTGTATGCAGGGTGACTCCTGTCGCGGGTTTTCCTCCTGTCCGCCGCTTCCTGCCGAGCAGTGCCATGCTGGCGCCGCCCGTGCTGAGCTGGTGGCCGCCGAAATGCTGCTCAGTGACCAGTACGGAGGCTGTCGTTGTTGGTCTAAGACACGTGAAAACGAACTTGGCAAAGAACAAGCGTCCGACTGGGATGATGTATTTGTTTTGAATCAGGATGTATATGTATAGTTATTCATTGCGTCCTGGTCCTGGTTTTGGTATAAGTATTTCAGGATCTACATCGGAGGATGTCCCATCTTGTTGATCCCTGTGGTCGATCCCGATGTTCCCCATGGATTCTGGTTTCACAAGCTGCCTGGTCTACTCTGTACCCCACAGAGCTACTCAGTGCTGCACCTGCTCGGATCAACTTCCTGACCTGCTCGGATCGCTTCTTCGACGGACAGCCGCTGGGTCTCAACGTGAGAAGGACCCTCAAAATCCTGAAAGGATCCTCTTCATAGCGGAAAAGGTTGCCTTAACACCGCAGGACCTGAAAAAGTCTTAATGTTCACATTTCAATCATAAGCCCCCAGTAAAGGCAGGGGAACCCCAAAACTTGTTACTCTCCCTGGAACTAACATGGAAGTGGACCACCCCCTGTTTGTAGAAGAAAATGGTCTTCCAAGGGGCCATTCTCCACTTCCATGTTAGTTCTAGGGAGTGCAGTCCATGGATGTGATGTGAACATGATGTCATTAAAGTACTGACTGGTGCTTAGCAGGGAATGAGGGAATGGATCCAATAGAATCTCTATTGGGGGCTCATTCCCTTATTCCCTACTAAGCACCAGTCAGAAGTAGTTTTAATGTCATTGACTTTCCTTCTCATCGCCTCCCAAGGTCCTGCAGCTTCTCATACAGCTCTCCCTGAGCCATTGAAGACAGAAGCCTTCGCTGTGGGCAGAAAGACCCTGTCGCTTTGCCTTGTCGCTTTGCATGGTGGAGGGATGGCGGAGAAGCGAAGAGCAGAAACTGATCCTGTCACAGCCGGGCCGGCAGGAACGAGCAGAAACCGTTTCATCATTTTGTTTTTTTGAAGAATGCCCACAGCCGGGCCGGCCGTGAAGTGTGGAGGAACGACTGGCCGGGCATGCCGCTCATAGAGATGACCGGAGATTTCTCTCCTGCAGGTGTTAAAGCATCGACTTTGCAGGCCCCAACAAGTATGGGATTGGGCAAATTCTTACAAGCAGTAGATGTTCAGATCAATATGCTAAAAGCTTTTTGTACTATTTTGTACTTATGTTTTGTATATGCATATTACAGGGATTTAAAAAGGAAATAGAACGAACATTCGAAATCCAGGTGCAATGAGTCGGGAGCAAACAATCTGGATCTAGGTACTGTAACCACGCTGCACTACAGGCTGACACGTTTGCTCAACGATCGAGTCACATGCTGCAAGAATAGAACATCTACACACCCGTTGTTGCCCAGAGGTACAGATAGAAATGCCTCAAGTCCAAAGGCGACCACACACCTCAAGAGTAGTTCCCAAAGCAAAGATCACGAAGGTGTACACATACCTTTGGCCCACAGAATGCTTGTACATGGACGTGTGCATACATACACACATATAAATATACGTACATCACTATGCCAAGAAATGCCTGAGTACAGATGAAGTCAACTTTACTCATCACTGGCTGCTTTGCCCAAACATACTTGCGGGTATCACAGGTATCATACGATACCCCACTCCGAGCACTTTCACGGATGTGTGCTTTGACATTTCCAGCAATCCCTCTAGCACTAAAGGACGCCTTCAGGCATGGATGTGAAGCTTACTGCAGGCATGAAGTGCAATTAAGTCGAACTCAGTATGGCGTCATTGCGGTTGACAAACAGCCAACATGGCGTCCTTCAACAAGCAAGGGGAAACAACAGTGCGAAAGAAACAAGGATCGGACAGAACACATCAGACAGGACACACTGCAAGCTCCACAGAAATAAAACAAACAAACAAACACGCCAAGTTAAGGGAATTGGTCAAACACACTTGAATGGTCAAAACAAACATTGGCTTCAAGTTAAGGGAATTGTACCTGGCCATTGCCACTCACGCCGATGTCGTTCCTTTCTGACCCCCTAAGGTGGCCCTCGGTGGAGGTCGATTTCGGCGGAGCCAGCGGAGTGCCCTTCGTGAATGCCCTGGAGCTCCCGAGATGTTGATTCTGGATGTTTTTGGTATCCGAAAGCATCAACCCCAATGATATAAGGTGTTCGGGTTCTTTGGGGTTGCTTTGATCTCCGGGGTGTTCTTTGATCTCGCAGACCAGAGATTCCTTCCGGGCGCACCCGAGTCCAATTCGTGTTGAGATCGGAAAAGGTGACTGGAAATCAAGTGTTGGGACAGGTGGACTGGATTGGATTCCTCGTTCATTGAGGGAAAGCTTTAAGAAAAGGTGACAGGTGACAGGTGTGTTCAAGCAAAGAGACCTTACACAAGCCAACTTGTGCTAGTGGTGACTGTTAAGTCGTATGGGATCAGAAGGCGTCATCCTGTTCCACCAAGCCTATCCTGTTCCAGCAAGCCGATTTCCTTCACATTCCCCAAGACTCAGTTGCAGCTTGCCTGGGTGCCCAACTGGTTTCCAGTCGGTACTTCGACCGAACATCCCTCGACTCACATTCTGTGAGTGAGCAGGGGCCCACTTCCGAGGCAGCACTGGTGCTGCCTGTGTGGTGGTGAGTGGCCTCCCAGGATCTGGGAAAAGCACGTGAACTCGGCTGTTGTCATTGACGGGCCGGTCGGGGGCCCGCCGGGCGGGGAGACGGAGACGCCGGTCTTGGTCGACCTGAAGATCTCAGGGTTTGGCTCAAATATGCTCAAATACAGGTTTCAGGATTCATCAATCCAGAAAGATCATTTGGGCTGTGTCTTGAAAGAGGGAGACCAACCAATCGATGTTGGCCTATTTTATCTTGGAGGGGGTCTTGGGAAGGTCTCCCCTTTTAAATTCACATCCATGTCCTTGGACAAGTTGCCAAGCTCAGTTTCCCATTCGAGTTCCGAACGATCCTGCTGCGCCAGACTTTGCCGTTTGCTGTGTGCGGCATTTGAAGCCAGTGCGTGGGTCAATCAGGACAGCCGTGGGTGAATCAGTGCGCCTGTCATTTGTTGTATACAGTTACAGGATACTGCACAGATCTCAGGCAACCCAGTTGTGGACGTGGTACCATTCAATGACTGGTGCATTCAGCACCAGCCTGGCTGATCATGCACGGGATACGGCTCGGCCGAGAAAGTGCCGAGAAAGTGCGCTGCATGAAGTCGTGAGAGCCAGAAAAGGGACAGAGATGTAATTTACATCATATTTTTTGAATTTAGGAGTCCACACTTGCAAGCAAAGATGTTCTTTTGATGTTTGTACTAAAATTACTAAAAGTTCCATGTGTTCACCATCAGCATGAGAACGGCACTTTTGCAAGATGAATGTATACCGTATATCCACATCATTATCCATCATCCTCGAATGCATGGATACTGACACAGAAGAGTCGATTGCTAGCACTCTGGAAGCACCAACATTGTTCTTGTTTTGGCAATCACAGTAAATGCATGTAAATGCCTCTCTGCCTGTTTCTGCCTGGGTATGTTTGCTTCAAGAACTGGCAGCACTTCGATTGAGGACCAGTTTTCAGGTTCTGTGAGAACAAAGGATCTATTTCTCAGGCCTGACCAGAAGGAAGACGGCTCCGAGTGATCATGTCATAAGCCATGCAATAGAAAAAGTATGAACATGTATGAACATGTTGAGGACAATGACAAGTTTGGCAAACATATACTTTTCCTGTAGTCATTTCTGGAGAAGGTGTTTGCGATTGTGAAAACGATGTCTATTTTGGAAGCTTGGACATCAATGAACTGCCTCACGACAAAATCTGGGTATATAGATGAACTTCCTCGATTTAAGTGCTCAGGATATGTAGCCATATGCAGCCTTCGATCTCCATTTGCCTTTTTTCCTTTTGATATTGATTTTGACGGCATTTCACCAGAGAAATGGCTTCGGCGTTGGGCCCCACCCATGCTCCACCAAACGAACCCAAATGGCTTGGTCACGAAGACAGGGCGGTCGAGAGCAGCCTTGAAGATGCACTTCAACAGAGTGCGGGGCCTTTTGGGCTGGGGGACCAGACCGATGCGTTCGGGTCGGGCTTTCTGGAGTGTTCCGGCGTCCAGCCACCAGCAATCCAGCCATCCGGGATGTTTGGTCAATGAATTACAGTACTTCTTGAATCTTCTTGAGTGAGCTGAAAATCTCAAATGTCCTTGGTATGTATCGTGGATTGGGGGCACAATGTTCCTTGTGAAGGGTACGGGATGGTACGGGGCGTTTCGAGATTCGGAACGTCCACATATTTTTGATAACGGGGTCTACACCTTTAACCTGTGCTGCCTACCAAATCGATCTCTCAAGATCAAGAGATCCAAAAGTGCCACCACGGGTTTCGCACTGACATAGCTGAATTGAGGCAGTCTTTTGAGGCAGTCTTTGGGAATGCTTGAGGTATCCGCCATCCGCTTGCTCTTTCTTGCTGTTCCATGCCTCACGGGAACAAAGCAGTCGTTCATCACTTGGATTGCAGACGCGTTTGACACCTCAGATGAGTTCTGGTGGCATCCTAATTACAAGGTTATAGAATGTTTAGTATATTTTTCAATATATAGCAATGACCCGAAAATACATCATATAGTATCCCTCCACTTTGACCGTGCATTGAATCTGGCAGTCCTTTCCTTCTCGAACATTCGGCATCACATCCGATGGCCAAAATGTTTTTGCTTGAACTAATGGTCTTCAATTTGTTGACAACACCTGAGATCAATGAGTAGATTCGCCAAATGAGGCACAGCCCTGGTGTGCATCGACAAGGTGAATCTACAAAAGGTGGAGATTGCATACTTTGTTGTGGATCATTCTGGGTCCAGTGATACATTCAGACTCAAAAGGACAACTCGAGATTCTCCTGCCTCATTAGCAAAACATACTTATATCATACTATGAACATCCATGAGCATCTATGACATATGACGAAATAACAATATTATACGGTATACACATATATTGAACATTTGGATGTGGTATTCAACGAAACTTGAATGCTTTGTAATTACATGAAAGCATTGTGATTGTATATTGAATGCCATGTTGCAGGTGCACCGACGCGAGATCTTGGATCGAGCAGAAGAAGTTGGGTGGAAGGACTGGTGCTTTACCTGTCAATGGCAGCTGAGTGGCCGAGTGTTCAAAGCATCACAAAGAGTGGCTGCGGGAGGACATAGCCAAACTCTTTGTTGGACTTACGAGGCATTTGCAAGGCATTTCCTGGCCGGAGCGACAAAAGCACCATGTGGTTTGACCCATCGCATGTGTTTATTGGTGTTTTGGGGCAATTGGGGCAAATCCTTGAACAAGCATAGGAGGAGAAATGTCCAATAGAAAACATGGTGAACCTTGCCCTGCATGACTGGGGTACAAAGGGTATAAAAGCTGCTTTACTCGATTCCCTACACTTTTCGGGTGGCTGATCATTATCTATAAGTAGTAATCCCCTGCTGAGCTGTGCATTTATTGCCTAACAGCGCGACCTGGTGCACTCGAAAACAAGCACGCAAAGCCTATTGCTCCAAATCTATGCAATATTCATGGCTATTTGTCATTTGCTGGCCACCGACTGGTGCGGAGGAGAAGGGTGGCCTTTTGCTCCTTTGCGAGCTGAGCTCCGACATGATGCATTGCAAGCGCGCATCCCCATCGAAGCGGGAAAGCAGGAGTCACACACACAATAGACAATATGTTATATATGTCCTATTGAGTCGGGACATGAAAGCAATCAAATTGTTTTGGAATTTCATGGCATTCATGGCGTGTCAGCTTCGAAGCAAGCAGGTGTTGGACTGTAAATGGATGTGTGCAAGTAATGTATAATGATGATTGCACCCTTGATTGCCTGCAGCTTTTCCTTCAACTCAAGGCTTGCTTTTACAAAAAACTAGTGCACTGGATGTTATTTGAGCCACAAGAAGCCAGGATTTGAGGCCGGACTCCTGAGAAACAGAGCGGCCTCTGAGGCTTGAAGAGGGAGTCTGAACAAACTACAAAGTCAGAGGTTTGTGATTGTCTTTGCGCATTCTCACATGCGAACACACATCTTTCTGAAGTGAATGACTGCATGGAGAATGATGGATGGGCGGCTGCCTCAGAATCGCATAGATGGGCAGTTTCCTCAGAAACCAAGTTCATTCAGTTGGGATTTGCTGGAATGCTCACTGTCACGGGTCACTTGGACGGTCTCCATGGGTTGAGTTGTACCCAGTCGGTTGCCAATGTAATATAATTCAATGGATGAGCATTCCCAGTACGCAATTCGTTTCATTGTTTGAGGTTCCCCTAGAATTTGATGGAGTATGGGACTTTTGACCCTATAGCCATTCATTTGCATGACGCGCTGCCCACAGCTTGGAAACAGTCATTTTGTCGCTGTGTTGTGTCTACAAGCCGTCACGTGTCGTGTTGTTTCTCAAGCTGTACTCTATGGTGGAACATGCTGCATAGCAAACCTCTTGCACAAATTATCGAGGTCATAATCACTGATTGCTGCGAGCGGAGCGATCGAGCGATCAGGTCCTTGAAGGAAACCGTCTTCGTAGCTCCTCCGTGCTCCCGGAGTTGAAGGTGGCGCCGCACACACCGCACCGGGCGCCATTCGGGAACGGAAAGCGCAGCTGCGCAGCTGCGAAAAGAACATTGACCAATTGGCTTTTAGGTGGCCTTCGTGCCCAAAGACGGAAAGCACGTGTCCACCTGGGTCCACCACTGCGTCCACGGGCCAAAGACGGAGGGATGGAAAGGATGCATTTGAACACGAACGGGCCAGGCACAGAATGGTCCGGAACCCCGAGTGGACCTGGAAGATCGTTGGCTTCTTCGCATTCTTCCGGAGGTTGTAATTCGACGGTAAATGTATCGGAGGCCCCCGAATTTGCATGGTAAGAGTGTCAAGACTGGGGCCTTTATGAATCAACTGTCTACATCCCGTCTACTGTTCACCACCAATCTGAATACCAATTTGCTCAAACCGCAAGCCAAGTCCACGCTCTCTACACACCGCCCCTTGAACTTGCAAGCTTACTTTAGCTATTGTTATTGGGGCGCCCTTTTTTTTCACCCTTGAACAATGTTGTTTTGCACAATCCCCTTTTTTCACCCTTTACCTTGTTTTTAAACCCTTTACCCTTTCTTTTTCACCCTCGACCCTTTCTTTTCAACCCTCCGCCGGTGAAGCAGGTAACCCCTGGAACCTGCACAGAGCACGATGTCACCTCCGGTTTGTTTCACACCGCTTGTCTGCACCTGCCAAACCCGCCCCTTGTTTTCACCTCAATAACTTCTTGTTACTAACCCTTCGGAACCCTCCGGAAACTGTGCAGAGACTGTCTGGAACGACGGGAACCGCCGGAAAGTGACCCGGACGCCTCGGGAACGTGAGGCAGCACAGGATCCATCCATCCATCCATGCATCCATCCATCAACGGAGTGCCAACCAACCGACCAACCAACCAAGCAACAACGCAGCCAAGCCAACAAACCAAACAAGCAACCAACAAACCAAGCAACCAAGACCACCCATCCCGTAGCGCTGCGGCCTCCCCCCCGCACCCCCTCCCGCCTTTATTTACACAGCATCCATCCACTCATCAACCAAGCACAGAAGCAGAGAAATTTGCATATCCATCAATCACTGTATCACGCAAGCACTCACGGCAAGCAAACCAACAAACCAACACACCAAAAAATAGCCTTTTTTCTCCCTGTCCATGATCCATCCATCACTGTATGTGCTTTCTCCAAATCCAAGCAAACAACAAGCCAAGCAGGCTGAACCAACCAACACACCAACCAAAGGAAGGAGAGCAAAAAAGAAAGGGTGGGTAGCCCACCAGCAACGAACAAACCAAGCAACCAAACGCTTTCCCCAAATGCTGTCGATACTTGCTTTGCCCTGGTAGCCCACAAGCAACCAACAAACCAAGCAACCAAAACCACACAATCCTGTGTTTTCCAAAATGCTGTCGATACTTGGTTCGCATTGCGGGGGGAGGTGCTGCGCCCTCCCCCCGCACCCCCTCCCGCCTTTATTTACACTCCATCCATCTATGCATCCATGCATGCATCCATCCCCGCCCGCCATGATTTACAGACCATCCATCCATCCACCAATCAAACAAGCGAACAGCCAACAAACCAAGCAACCCAAACCACACAACCCAGTGCTTTCCCCAAATGCTGTCGATACTTGGTTTGCATTACAACAAGCTAGCCAACCAACCAACACACCAAGCAAAGGAAAGAGGGTGAAAAAGAAAGGGTCGAGGGTCAAGAAAATTGGTAGAGGGTGAAAAAGAAGGTTCGAGGGTGAAAAAAGAATGTTCAGAGGGCGAAAAAGAAAGGTGGAGGGTGGAAAGAAAGGGCGGGGTGAAAAACAGTGTTCAAGGGTGAAGAAAGGTTGCCCTTTGTATCGCGGCCAAGTCCAGTCGAAGTGAACAAAGATCATTGGACAATGCACGAGTTTTCACCTATCTCCGCTGCCGATTTGATTGTTCGACGGCAGTTCAAGAGGTGGTAAAGTTCCGGACTTCTGTGCTCTTGGTGAAGCTATCCACTTCGATTGCTTGGGGGCTTTGTTTTCTCTTGGGGGCGAACGGACCACGCCTGAAACCACCGGGGCACTGCCGATCCGAACCCAAAGACCCCAAGGCTCCGACCCATTGGTGCGGGAATGCGGCTCAGAGCCCGTGACCCGACGTGACGTGACGTGGCTTTCACGAGCGACGCGGCGGCGGCGCGCAATGCGGAGCGCGCTCCGCGCCATTGAGTCGGTGAGTCTGCCGAATGCGAAACCCCCCAGGCTTCACATGGGGAAGGTTCTTGGGGCCGTGGTTCATATGTTCTCCCGACCTGGTGAAGATTGTCCAAACAGAACCCTCTTGACACGGGTGAACAGTTGGTTTCGAGTTTCGAGTGTACCAATGCATCAGCCTTTTCGGGAGCGAACCGTACCCACGGACCAGGAGCCACAGATTGCGTGTGAGGAGCTACTAGTATAGTGTCCTTGCTCCTAATTGTAAGGCCAGGAGCCCCTGGTAGCGTCCTTGCTCCTAGTAGCGATGCCAGGAGCCCCTAGTAGTTTCTTGTTCCTACTTGTTTTTTGTTTTATCGTGCTTCCTGATTTTCCAGCCATTGCATCAATCCATGGCGTCCACGTGGTGCTATCATTTTCGAGATCATTGGGCAGTGGATATCTAAGCATAGAAGCAGCATGGTGCTTAGTGACAAAGCTACTGTCACAGCAAAAAACTGCTTAAGGGATCACCAGAAGGCTTGTGGATGTGGATCATACTTATGTGCATCAGACAGCACTCCTGATGCACTCTCGCTCCTGAACCTAACTGGAAATAACGGTTGAAGTACAACAAATCACTACCCTTACGAACTTACGAACTTCCCGCATATTGATCACATTGAAACTTGGATTCCTACATGGATGGCCGCCCAAAAACCAGGAAAAATGTGTGAATTATATGGGAGAATGCTTCACAGAGTTGGATTCGGATGTATATATATATATGACTATAAGAAGTACAGATGATGCTGATCTGGCTTTTAATACGTTGTCCGAGCGCAAACCGGTTTCCCAGCCAGTAACTGGCAATTCAAGCCACCTGAGCGTTGCATCCGTCATCCATGTCCAATAGTAATCCATGAAAAAGTAAAACCTCTAGAATATGATCGTTTTGGTCATTGCTTTGGTGTTTACCTAGGGATTTGGGGCCTTTGGGACTTGGAAAACGAGAATAACGCTGTTCTTTTTGATGAGCACGTTTTGCAAGTTCTTGGACCGTCGATCCTCAATCAAACAAAATGCTCTATACTGAATGAAAGAAACACAACCAAAAAAATCCGAGGTTGATTCTCCTCAAGGAGTGGGCTTCAGAATTGTCGAGTCTTTGGGTTGAAGGCATTTAGTGTCACAAGTTATACCGGAAGCTAGCTGTGTTTCACTTGTCATCTTCAATCATGTTCAATTCCAATCATGTCATCAGTTTCGTACCTACTGCAGACAACTTGTACGTGGATGGAGTGTCTCTACTTTGGACACTCGTCCCACTTGGCAACGTAAGGCACACATGTTCGCACTTATCACATAGATTGTGATTTATGATATAGTATGTGCATATATGAGCATGTGTTTTTCTTTAAACAAAAAAAGAACCAAAGGATTAGTGCGAGCGCGTCTTCAAGGAAGCTCCCCCCGCCCTCAGGCGAGGGGAGCTTCCTTGAAGATCTTGAAGAAGCGTGAGCAATCCTGCCTACCTAGAAGCTAACTTAGCCCTTACGTAATTAAGTAGGGGCCTTTCCAATAGAGCTGCTTAAGAGTGCATCCGATCCCATCTCTTCACTCGGGAGAGGACAGGTTCCGCAGTTCCCCGCACAAAACCCCGACGATGTCGTAGATCTTTGGTGGTTCTTCAGGTTCCGCAGGTCGTTTCTGCATGGAGACAGACTTGGTTTCTCAAAGTTTGCCGCACCTTCCCAGTGATTCAGTTGTAACTGGAGACCTACACGGGATTGGCTTCCCTATGATTTGCTGAACATCTTCATCAAAGGGATGACACCCAACATGTTCGGCATGTTCTGCTCACTGCATTGGTTGGTTTCTGGTCTCTTTCAGACTGCAGGA